TTCCTCTGTGGTAAAGAGGTTGATAAAGATTTTCTAGAGTTAGTAGTAATTATTCACAATCAACAGGGCTTGCTCTGTAATGTTGAAAACATTTTGTAGTGTGTCTGAGACACTTCTTCACATCTAACAGGTGTCAGGAAGATACCCCAACATTTATATATTTACAGAGACCTATAGACACAAGGTAGAAAAAACTTGTGTTTCACAAAGACCTAAATCCACTATCACCACTGTATATGCGTCAAGGGATAGAAAAAAATCATCTTGCAGAACATTGTAGCATTTGTTCGGTACTTGGTCCCAGCGAGAATCGCAAAACTTACCCCTAATTACTCGCCCAACTGTTTTTAGAGGCTGTACAGACTCACATACATATTGGTGGGATTGCCCAGTGGCATGCATCCAACAACAGCCCTACTCAATCAGTGCCCCCATGCGAGAATCGCAAAACTTATCTTCGCAACTTTGGATTAGTGTACAATCACTCTAGCCCGGGTGATACAATTGTCCTTTCAAGCTCCTTATGCAGTTATGGGTTTAGCGAAATCCTGAAATCCCCCACCCTTAGCGTTGGCCCAAAACCAGAATATAATCTAAACAAGCAATAGCCCCCTGAAACTTTTTTCAAAGAATATTAACATAAAAGAACCCTCAATAAGTGAAATTTATTTTATGCAGTAAATGCGCAAATTACATGTGAGTAAGTATAAAGGTGAACAATCAGTGTAGGTGAAAACAAAAGTTAGCCGGGAAAAAAAACCCATTTCACGCTTCCTTATCCATCACACAAATCTTCAAATTCTTCAAAAACAGTCACCGGGAGAACGTGTATAACATATAGTGTCCCCGACAGCCGCATTTCGGGGAGAACGCGCTATGCACTCACCAGATAGCCATGCCCCCCATTCTCATGGTTGGCTAAAGAAGACTGCTCAAAGAATAACTTCCAATGTTGGAGAAGAAGATCAATTGCGGGCCGGACTTTGGATCGGTTACTTATCTCCTCCAATCACCATGTCCGCCATTCTCCAGAGCACTCGTTACAGAATGGTAGATGTCTAATATTGAGGAGACGTACTTATGATGGTACACAAACAGCCTCCTTCTTCTTAATATTTCCTCTCAAAAAGGGCCAATGTTTCCAGACATTAATTGTAATTTGCTATAGGGTCCACATGCCATGCTTTAATGTGCATAGCCCGGGGACACTATATCTTTTACACGCGGTGATAACATGTGTTTTCGTGAAGAATTTGAAGATTTTGTGTGGAGGACTTTTTTTTATCTGTTGTTTTCACCTACACTGATTTTTTCACCTTTATACTTACAATGTAATTTTTGCAGTGCTGAATCACTTTGAGGGTTCTTGTAAGTTTATAATTTGATTTGTGTGGAGGACTGGCTGTTGTTTTCACCTACACTGATTTACACCTTTAGTACTAATTGTAATTTTCACTTTGAGGGTTTTGTAAGTTTATAATGATTTACATTTTATTACGCATCTAGCGCAGTTTTTTGATTCTGTATACAAACTAGAATATTACTTTGAACATTTTATTTGTTTACAAGTTGATAACAGCACACATGGACCTATGGCTTTTCATGTGTCTTAAAGCCGAACTTTCAAATTAAAATGTTATTTACTGTATATATTCCTGAATGGTAAAAAAAGATACAAATATACTTTGCATGTGCCAAATGTTGTTGCAAACCCAGTTATATCATCACTGGCTGCACATAGCCTGTGCAGAAAGTAGAGGTGTAGGAGGGATCCAAAGGTCCTACCCCCTGCATGCTGCCTACTAACAACTACAGAAGGGGCGGAGACAAGACTAGACACCCTGCACAAGCAGAGAGAGCAGCAGTGACTGGTCTTTATTACAGGAGACTCCTGTACAGAGGCAACGTTTCACACTGATTACTGCACAGATCTGGAAGAAACACCCAAAGCACACCAATATTAAAGAAAGAATACACATGCCTCTTGTGTTTAAAGAAAATTAATACTCTTGGAGATCGGTTTTAATACATAATCCCACCTAGGGTTTGCATCAGCAGATATGTGACACCTGTTTTTTTTATCAATGCAAGCATAACTGCACATGTATCTGCATCCTTCTGCCTGATCAGATGTTCTCTGCCTTGGTGTATGCCAGCTTATACTCACTATGCTTTAGCCAAATTTTCCATTGGGTACTAAACTTATAGGATCTTGCAGTATGTATTATCATTATTATTATTAGTAGTTTAATATAGCACTGACAATGTTATACAGCCCTTTATTTATATTGTACATTGACATCAGTCCCTGCCCTTCAAGGAGGGTACAATCTAAGACTTCACATTCATACACATACTAGGGCCAATCTAGACAAAAGCCAATTATGATTAGTATTATTATTATTATACAGGATTTATATAGCGCCAACAGTTTGCTCAGCACTTTACAATATAATGGGAGACAACACAGCAACAATACAGTTCAATACAAGAGGGATAGGAGGGCCCTGCTCCTCGGAGCTTACAATCTCGGATGGAGGGGAATTAACCTAACAGCAAGTCTTTGGAGGGTTGGAGGGAAACTGAAGTGCCTGGAGGAAACCCACACAAGTATGGAGAGAACATGCAAACTCCATGCAGATAGTGTTGTGGTTGAGATGTATTGTGCCCAATGAAAATTGTTCAACTGCTGCATGTAGCTATGCTGTTGTGGCTTTGGTTATGTACAAAGTAAATGCACTTGCAGCAAATGTTTTTTAAATGTTACATTCACTGCTTTACCAATGTACAGTAAAATGTAAGTAAAAAAGTTAACCATATTTCTATACTATGAAATAATAATGTTGTCTATATCGACAAACGCTGTTTCAAGATTATGCCAGCTGCAATATTCCATGTATATTAGTCAGAAAATCATCTATAGCCATCCCTGATAAAATGTCACAAAGAAATTGTGCTGCAGTATACTCACAAGAAGGATTCCATTATCAGTATTGCCATGAATCATAACCAGCACACATTCCTCTCCATCATTATAAACATGCTAATATATTCATCGGAAATACCCAGCATACAGCAATCGTTGTCACACCCATCAGTAGTCACACTGCTAATGACACAATATCCATCAGTAACGCCAACAATATTCCAATGACAGAATGCCTTTTATGCATACGGTCATCTCTTGTTTCTTATGTTTTGTGCCAATCTCTGATTACGTTTCACTTTGGTCTTTTTGTTGACTTTAGCAAAGCTGGAACAGCTACTATCCCACACTGGAAAGAGAGCTCCCTAATGCAGGCCATAGATGGGTCAAAAACCGTCCATTTTTTAAAAGAAAAAAACGAAAAATCGTTTGTTCAATGGGCCGACGTTACCACCAACAGTAAAAAAAATTGGCTGATTTTCGTCCCGTCTATGGCCGGCATTTAATTACTTCCATTCCTGCAGAGATCTCCACTATTATATTTGACATGAAAAAGTATAGCGGTTGCAACATTGTATCTATTTTATCCATTTCAGATACAGATGGTTTTATTCGGATACAAATAGATACATTGTTGCAACCGCAATACTTTTTCATGTCAAATATAATAGCGGACTGGAATTCTTCTTCTTCTTCTTCCTTTTCTCCTTCTTCTTTTTCTTCTAGGTCACGGCTCATGCGCAGATTTTTTATCGGTAAAAAGATTGACCGATTTGCCCATCATTGCCACGAAAATCGGCAAAATCGGATGATTTTTTTCCAACTTTACCGATAAAACAAATGTGCCAAAATCCAGAAAAACGGCTGACCAATAAACCCATTAACGGTGCGAAAATCGGCCGTTTTTTTTTTTTTTTTTCGGCCAAGAAATTGGCCGATTTTCGACCCATCTATGGCCTGCATTAGGTGCCATTCTTACAAGTAGGTCTGTGTTATTTGTTGCAACGCATCACACTGTTTACTTTTTTGCAAATAACTGGCGTTTCTTTTAGCTCTAAGCAATGTGCTGCTGCACGCTGCAAAATACAAATAGCAAAGGCTTGTGCGCTGCTATACCACAATTGTAATAGCAGAAGGAGGAGATTGCTGCACTCACTAATCTAGTGTACTCACACTCAAATTAAACAAAATGGGATGTGCTACCTCCTCCTGTAATGAAAACATAGACTTCAAAAAACATGCAGCGACAGTCCAGAAAACTTTAAAATAGTGTAATAATAAACGTCCAATCCAACATTGGTTGTGCCATCACCCAGCAGTATTCAACGCCATGCTTCAATTGTGGCCCTTAAATGTTGACCTATAAAGTATAATAGGGCAAACACGCTCTTAAAGGATTATGTGCCTCCAGATTTCTGATCCGTGAAGTGTTCCTTCCATGTGCTATACCTCCATTGGACCTTTGAGCTCCAAATCCGTGCACAATAAAACAACAAAAAAATACCGTAGGGCAACACCATTTTTTAAAGGATGGCCGAATGGTCTAAGGCGCCAGACTCAAGAGTTGTTTCTTCACATTGCGTGTGTGTTCTGGTCTCCAAATGGAGGCATGGTTTCAAATCCCCATTCTGACAAGCACGTTGCAAAGCGTTGAGTAAAAATGCAACCTTTCCTAGTTTTTTTTTCAGCATACTCCAACACAGCACATTGGTGTGAAATGAAACAATCGAACAGATAAGGCAAATTGCCCAATAGCCAATAATGGCCACTAAGGCAAATGCATTGGATGGCAGAATGACAGGGAGCAGGGCCTAGCCATGTCGAGGAAAGTAAAGTTCTAGTAACAAAGTGAAACTAAGATGGAGTGGAACACAGGACAAACCTTTCTGGGTAATAAAATAACAATGGAATTTGTGCTGCATATTGATATTCAAAATAATATATATATATATATATATATATACACACACACACACTATATTGCCAAAAGTATTAAGACACCCCTCCAAATCATTGGATTCAGGTGTTCCAATCACCTCCATGGCCACAGGTGTAAAACATCAAGCACCTAGGCATGCAGACTGCTTCTACAAACATTTGTGAAAGAATGAGTCGCTCTCAGGAGCTCAGTGAATTCAAGCGTGATACCGTGATAGATTGTCACCTGTGCAATAAGTCCATCCGTGACATTTCCTTGCTACTAAATATTCCGTGGCCAACTGTTAGTGGTATTATAACAAAGTGGAAGAAACTGGGAACAACAGCAACTCAGCCACACAGTGATAGGCCACGTAAAATGACAGAGCGGGGTCAGCACATGCTGAAGCACACAGTGCGCAGAAGTCGGCGACTGTCTGCAGAGTCAATAGCTAAAGACTTCCAAACTTCATGTGGCATTCAGAGTAGCACAACAACAGTGCATAGAGAGCTTCATTGAATGGGTTTCCATTGCAAAGCAGCTGCATTCAAGCCTTACATCACCAAGTGCAATGCAAAGGATGCAGTGGTGTAAAGCACGCCGCCACTGGACTCTAGAGCAGTGAAGACGTGTTCTCTGGAGTTATGAATAACACCTCTCTGTCTGGCAATCTGATGGAAGTGTTTGGATTTGGCGGTTGCCAGGAGAACGTTACTTGCCTGACTGCACTGTGCCAAGTGTAAAGTTTGGTGAAGGGGGGATTATGGTGTGGGGTTGTTTTTCAGGGGTTGGGTTTGGCCCCTTAGTTCCAGTGAAGTGAACCCTTAGCATACCAAGACATTTTGGACAATTTCATGCTCCTACTTTGTGGGAACAGTTTGCGGATGTTCCAACATGACACCAGTGCACAAAGCAAGGTCCATATAGACATGGATGAGCAAGTTTAGAGTGGAGGAACTTGACTGACCTGCACAGAGTCCTGACCTCAACCTGACAGAACACTTTTGGGATGAATTAGAGCGGAGACTGTGAGCCAGACTTTCTCGTCCGACATCAGTGCCTGACCTCACAAATGTGCTTCTGGACAAATGGTCAAACCTTCCCATAGACACACTCCTAAACCTTGTGGACAGCCTTCCCAGAAGAGTTGAAGCTGTTATAGCTGCAAAGGGCGGGGCCAACTCAATATTGAACCCTGCGGACTAAGACTGGGATACCATTAAAGTTCATGTGCGTGTAACGGCAGGCCGACCAATACTGTTGGCAATATAGTGTGTGTATATATATATATATATATATATATATATATATACACACACAATATACAGTATAAAGACTTTAGTTGTAGATAAGCAAAGCTGATACAAGTTAGAACTAATCCTGGCTGATATAAATGTTAATGGTGCCAAAGTAGCTTTGCCCTGAAAGTCTTTAGAGCGGTTTCTGGGTGTTTTGCCTAATGGAAATCATTTCAGTGACTCTTACATTCCAGTTACCATCCAGCTCTGAATAAAAAAAAAAAAAAAATCTATAAAATATGAATCAGGCTTTACCCAACAGATGTTTTCCTCTTGCACGTCAGCGCAGCTTGTCCTTAGACTGTTACATTTCCTTTATAAATCTCTATGCTTCTGTTGTAGAATCTGTGTCAAAAGAGCATAAGTATGAAATGTTATCATAATACATTGTAAATGAGAACAGCTCGATTGCAACAAAGTATATTTTTAGACAAACACGCTAAAAATAGCATTTCAAATAATCATGCTCCTATTGCTAGGCTCCGTTCACACTAGTGAGAATTCAGGTGCAACTTGAGTTGCACAGAATCGCATGACAATGGAAATCACGTTGTTTTCAATGGTGTCCTTTCATATCAATGCAACTCTGCAGGGTGTGATTTTGGAAAAGGCTCCTGTACTTTGGTGCAATTCCATTGTGATTTTGGATCCATAGAATAGGCAAACCACTTCAAAGGAGCAAAGTTGCATCCAAGTAGCACTACATAATTGTAAGTGAAAGTACATGAAGAGAAATCTCTGCAATGGGACACATGGCAAACAAATACCTGACAGGAGTTACAGTATATTGTATATAAAAAAGGTGCAGCGCTAGTAGATGAAGATACGTATTACATATGCAAACTCATATAAAAGTTCAAAGTGACATAGTGCATATAGGTATAAGCCACTACTTTGTGTCTGGTAGAACGTGAGGAAAGGATTATTATATCCAAACGAAAGTTCAATGTGAGGATGTGAATAAATTCTCAAACACTCTGATGCTTTCCAGGCAACACCGACTGTGTATACGGTGAAAAAATGGGGGTACAAATTGCGCACTCACCAAATGCGCAACCTTTATGCGCTTTTCTCTAACATATAAGACCTCCAATCCCTCATCCAGGGTCTGGTCAGATCTGGTAAGGTCCCCTTCTTAGTCCAACACCTTGCAATTAGCCTTCTCCTTTGATGATCACCACTCTCCAAGACACCTGGCTCCCACAGGAGCTTGTGGAACCTAAGGGGTTAATCCTCTGCACTGTGTAAAATGCTGTTTGATCCTGTCTGCTCTGCTCCTCCTGTTCTTCCAGTGTCCCCTTATCTCCTGGATCAAACAGATGGTGATCTGTCCTGGATCAGATAAACTGGGATTTGCCCTGGCTGATGAGCAGGGACCGAAGGATCGTGGGGCCCCCGTTAGGGTCCGCTGCTGCCCAGATGGCAGCGGATTGGGGCCAGGGGAGTAGGAGCTCGCCGACGCACGTCCTTCTCGCCGGACGTCCGGATGTAATTGTGCAAATGGGGATCTGACAAATGAGTCCCCATTTGTCAGATCCCCATTTGCACAATTACATCCGGACGTCCGCATTTGCACAATTACATCCGCTCAGCATTCCAGCCATTGTCGAAGAGCTCTCTCCTGTAGCCAGTACTGGCTGATATTGGGGAGACCAAATGACCAAACCAGAGCATCCTGAGAATAGGTTTGTATATGTATTGTTCTTATGTCGGGTAGGTAGTAAATGTGTTGGGGGGGGGGGGGGGGGAGCAGTTTTATTATTAGATAGTTTTAGCCCAGAATTCTACTTTATAGCTCAACTCATAGAATTGTAAAAAAAAAAAAACTCCCTTACAGTGGGGCCTTCTGCATTGCAAGGGTTAAACACTTGTTGTGTCTAGAGGTGCAGGGATAGGGTGTAATTACTCACCCTATCCCTCGTTCTAGCAGTGTCCATCCAGCAGTGTGCCCAGTTCCCTATAAGCTAAGACTGGCTCTAGTTGCACTCCAGCCTCCAATACAGAGTTAATGTCCCACTATTGTACATGATGATGCTGAGGTTCCTCCCACAGACCGGAGCTTCCGGCAGAGGAGGAAAGAACCAAAACCGGCTGGAGTGGAGACATAAGGTAATTACTACAGCTTGTACTTTAACCACTTGCCATCCAGAGGATTTACCCCCCTTCCTGACCAGGCCATGTATTCTGCTACTTGTCTTTGCTAAAAAAAAATCCCAATACATGTAAATTAATTGGTTTACGTGAAAGTCATAGTGTTTACAAATGGCGGTATATATACTGGATTTTTTTTTTTAAATAGTAATAGAGGTGATCAGCGACTTATAGCGGGACTGCGGCAGGCATTCTGACCCTGGGGGGAACTGACATGGTGTCACTGGGGAAAAAGCATTGACACTGTACTAATGGCACTGGGCAGGAAGGAGTTAACATGTGAGGCAATCAAAGGGTTAACTGTGTGCTGTTTTACTAGGTGGGCTGCGTTGCACTGTAAGTACAGTGCTTTGTATGGCTCTGCTAGAGTTATACAAAGCCATGTGCAGGAGCTGACAGGGGAGAGATCTGTATTGTTTACATACAGGTCTCTCCCCCGTCGGAAATCCTTGGAGATCGCCGGGTGCTGTCGGGGAATCACCGGCTGTGATCCAGTGATTGACAGCCGAACGCACGACCCCTACCCGGAACTGCAAAATTTGTATATATATATATATATATATATATATGTGTGTGTGTGTGTGTGTGTGTGTGTGTGATTTTACGCACCTGTGCCACCCTGTAGCAGTATTTCTGCTATTATTATTATTATACAGGATTTATATAGCGCCGACAGTTTGCTCAGCGCTTTACATTATGGTGGGAGACAGTATACGAGACAGTACAGTAACAATACGATTCAATACAAGAGGGGTTCGAGGGCCCTGCTCCTTGGAGCTTACAATCTAGGAGGGAGGGGATAGTGGTACAGGAGGAAATAGCTGTGGGGGATGGAGTTGTTGGAAGAGTAGAGGAGCTCAGTATTAGCTGAGGGCGGGGTAGGCTTCTCTGAAGAGATGGGTTTTCAGAGTGCGCCTAAAGGTGAGCAGAGTAGGTGATAGTCTGATGGATTGGGGTAGGGAGTTCCAGAGGATGGGGGAAGCCCTGGAGAAGAGCATGGGAGGAGGAGACAAGGGAGCTAGAGAGTAGGAGATCTTGTGAGGAGTGGAGAGTACGGTTTGGGTGATATTTGGAGACAAGATCGGTGATGTAGTTTGGGGCAGTGTTATGAACGGCTTTATACATCAGTGTTAGTGTTTTGAATTTTATCCATTGGGCAATTGGAAGCCAGTGGAGGAATTGGCAGAGGGGGGTGGCAGATACGGAACGGTTAGTAAGGTGGATGCTATAGAGCGACATAGAAGCGGTTAAAGTGATATTAAATGCAAGTTTAAAAAAAACAAACAAAACATGTCTATACTTACCTGCTCTGTGCAGTGGTTGTGCACAGAGCAGCCCTGATCCTCCCCTTCTTGGGTCCCCAGCCAAAGCTCCTGGCCCCTGCCTCCTGACGAATGCCCCCAGAACAAGAAGCCTGCTAAATTGTACTGTTGCTGTACGCTGTAACATGTCGGGAATATATTCATTCAGACTTATACTGTAAAGTTACTGAAAGGTCCACTTCAACTACTTATTGAGCTTCTAATATGAAGTAATGGTGCTCCAAGTGTCTGATTAATAAAATCCAGATGATAATTAGGGTAATCCAGCTACTAAACTAAGTGACAGAGCTTGTATATTAAAACTGATACCAGATGTTCAAGTTGTCATCATTGAAGACTGCATCTGAGTTCAGTGGGTGTATCCTGCAATCATGGTCCCCATGGGCCACTTCTGACTCTACGTCTTGGTGAGTGAATAAGTCAGTGTCCAGCTTAGGATATCTCTGGATGGAATGGACACATTAACATTGGAATGATGCAAAGAGCCGTAGAATAGTATGTTCTTATTCCACATGTTCTCACACGCGCAGATGTTCGCTCGCACAGCGCTCCTGCAGGACGCATAGATGACGGTCTACCAGGAAAACGTTGTTACACGGTCCCTTGGCTCAAATCTGAGTAAATATATGCACTATACAAGAGCTCCGAATGTACAATAAAACAGCTCGGAGAGGCTGAGAGAATAGCTTTGGGACATGAATGGAAATTAGGTCACTTCTTCCATGTCTCCATTGCTCCTAGTTTCATATGTTCACTAACTTGAAAGGCTGCTGTTTGTAACAGAATTTGGCAATTGAACATTCCATTTTACAAACAAAATATTTGTATTAGTTTATAGCAGAACTC